CTGTATCACTTCCAGGTCAACGGGCAGGAAACTGAAGTGTGACTATGTGATGAGCACTGAGTCGCTGGTCAGCGCTCCCTTTATGTAACTAATGTAAGTGGGGGGTTGAAAGAAAGCAGGAGGAGAGGAGAGACAACGGCCAAGTGGCTTGTTTCCTCTGCTTTAATTACACACGTGGTTGTAAACTTGGACGGAAACACACAAACACTGACACAGAAAGCGGTTGTAAAGATTCCCAAGCAGATAAAAAAAAAAAAAGAGGAAGTCCCGGGCCAAATCCCACCCCAACCCCCCCCTGTGCAAACAAAGCACGAGGGCTGTCTTTGAAGACACCCTTTGCACTCCCTCAGTAATTCCTCCTTCAAATCTATACTCAACGGCGGAGTAGAGAGGGCGCGCCGGGCACCGCGAGGTTGGCGGTTTGGACCCCGGCTGCTCCGTGTCCCATGTCAAAGACACGTCACCCCTAACGGCTCCCTAACGGGCAAAATGTAAGAACCGTGGGTTAAAAATGCAATGTGAGTCGCTTCGGGTGAAAGCTTCAGCTAAATGTGTAATGTAATATACTCAGCCCTTCCCACAGACATGCATCTCCACTCTCACAGTCTTACACCAGCTTCCTGTTCAGGTGACATTGTCTCAGATCATGGATGTCAAATTGTTTCTTCTTTGTAATGGAACATGTTATTAGCTTGTGTGTTCTGCACACGTCTCTTTTGTCATATTAGCTTTAGTAGAAAATTGTACATATACACGTTCTTCTGAATTAAGGGCACCTCCGAAAAACATAGAAGATCAACCCTGGTGTGTATGAAATGAGATGCAGATGCACGGGCAGACACACGCGTTTACACATCATCGGTCGGCAGCCAGAGCCGATGTGTGGGCTGGAACGCAACACTGATCAGAGATAATGGGCGGACATGACAGGGACGGCAACGCTGCCACACCGAGACGAGGAAGGAAGGAGAGATGAGATAGCAAGAGGGACAAAGAAAAAAAGAGGAAGAGAAAAAGGGAGGCAACAAAGGAAGGAAGGAAGGAAGAAACTCCCAATTCAACAGCAGACACAGAAGAGACAAAAGATGGGAAATGAGTGAACATGCCAGCTCATGTCAGCTCTGAGACACCCCTCCCCCGTCTGATCCCCACCACAAATTACAGGCATCCCCTTCTGCTTCTCCCGCTCCCTTTGCATCTCCCCCCCCCCCTCACAGCCCCCCCGTCCCCCTTCATCTCATCAGGGGGTTGATGTCGAGGAGTCTAGCACACAACAAAAGTTCTTCACCTGATGTTTCCCACTCCCCTGCGAACAACGCTTACAGTCCTGCTCAACCTGACGGGCGACATGCTCATAAGCAAACACGTCAGTGCGACATAATGTCCACACTGTCTCGTTCAGCCTCCCCTGTCTTGCACAACCTCTCACATTTTACACGCAAAAAGGCAGGGGGAGGAGAATACAAACACACAGTGATCTGTGTGTAAAAACCCGTCATGATGAGCGACATCGATGGTTGATGACACAAACTGCGTTTCCTGTTTTCAAATCATCTCCACAACATCTCAGATTTATGTCGTCGGCCAATCCGATGCTTCGCCCGTTCACTGTAACTGCACTTCAAGGGGATCCCCCCCCTCCTCCCTCCCTTGTTATTGAACGTAGCCAGACAGAACCGGGCACCTTAATTAGACACACTCCGTGAAACCACAGAAGAAAACATTTCAGCGTCCCCTGTCGGTTTTGTCTTGTTTTTTTCCAGGACACACTTGGTAGCGGGCTGTGACAGCGGGCCGGGAATTGGGAGAGAGCGAGACACAGAGAACCCACAGGCACACAGTCAAACACAAACATTTAAACAGCTTGATTGCATGTGGGGAGATGGGCACTGGGGGCGGGGGGGGCTGCATAAGCCCCGTATTTGCTTAATGGCAGAAATAAGAAGACCTCTGAGGAAGAGAAGCATTTCCTCACAACGGTTAGAAGACGAAGGACAAATGTGAGAGAGGAGAGAGAGGGAAGAGAGAGAGAGATCATCCCTTTCATGCTAATTGCATCATCCCTTTATCGTGCCAGCCACATGCTCATCAAACTGCAACTTGTGTACTGTATCTGTAATCATAAAGAGAGAGCGTCCGTCTGCTCTGCCACAAGGTCAGAGGAGTCGCTGTGGGGGATGAAGATGTGAGAGTGTTTGCAACAAGCTCGGGTTCCATATTGTTGATGGTGGTGATTAATCGTGCTGTTTATATAATGCATTGGGCGCACGGAGGACTGTATGAGAGATACATCTGCAGATAAAAGCAGGAGTATGACTTAAGGTCAAGGTTGTTAATCTTCTTTCGGAGCATTTTTGGATATTTTTGACCTGATAGAAATAAAATGCTTTGACTAAATAAGCTGTGATAAGCGGTGACTGACTATTTTCAATAGCCATGTTTCTTCTTTTGCATTCATTATAATACTTATGTGTTTATGATGATCATTTTGGGCAAGTGGCCTTGCTGACAAGGGAACTTTCTTGCCAGATTTAGGGAAACTTATTTGAAAAGGAGTTTCACACGGCCGCGTCTTTTGGTTGGAGAGAGAAATAAAAAACCACAAAGATAGATATTTCTACTTATATTATTATAAGCTGCTAAATGTTTATAGTTTCTTTCCTCTGCAAATGTGTGTGTGTGATTGTTCCTTTCCCTCTTAAAATGTGCCTGTACAAGATAAATAACGAAACTTTGGGTACTTTAGGGACATTTGATTAAGGTCGGAGTTGCGGAACTAATCTACGGTCTCAGTTGGTCTGGATGTTTGTAAGAGAGAAATTCCTTTACCTGCTATATATCTGCCTATAGGTGAGGGGACTTGAGTGTATCAATCTGGGTCACTAAGTACACACACACACACACACACACACACACACAACACAAATACCCTCGTTCACCCACAGGGCTCACTTAGCCGAGCCCCATCCCCCCTTTCACGCTCAAATACTATATTAGCTTACTGTACACAGATGGAGCACATGGTCATGGGGATGCGCACATATTTGTCCTGAACACACAATTGCAGACGTAGTAAATGGACACACACACACGCACATGAACCTGCATGGGGGTGTATAACGGCATATGAGATAATGGCTTTCCCCTCTTTTCACATCCCCGTGCTTCAGCAATGTCTTTGTCAATTTTGAAGAATAAAAAAAGAGTGTGTGCCCTAACACACACACACAAACACACACAAGCACCAGTTTTTATCTGCCACTATAGATCCTTTCACGGATCACTTCCTGAAATCCCACGGACAATATTCAACTTCCTCGTGGCAGCAACTGAAGCGGTGAATTGTGGCAAGAAAGATAAGGTGAAGACAAGACACTATGGGAAAGGAAAGGAAAGTCTCTCATGCTTCCCAATAATAAAACGAAACCATGTGACTCCAAATATTCATATACAAATTCTTATTCAGTATTCTATGACGTTGAAATAGGTTTACTGACTTAATGAGTAACCACTGAATTACATGCGTTGTAGCACGGTGAAAGAAAAGAAAACCGCAAAGCCAAATATTTTGGCTTCTTGTTCGATTTCATCAGATTCAGACGTTGCATTCCACAGCAATATTGAACAGTGAACTGTAAACACTATGATAACTGGAATAATGTATTGATAAAACACAACCCAATCTAGAACCTAAATAATCATCTAATTTATACTACAATTCATTTGATCTCTACTGAACTCTCTTAATGGACAAAACCAATGATATACTTTCCTCCTCTCGAAAGTGATGGAGGAGAAAAGGACAGCGGAGACACTTTTCCCTTTGACCCCCTCATAATTCTTGGTCCGTCCGGGAGCCTTAAGATGACCCCGTGCACCGCTGAGTACTGACACATCTACTGACACACACGTGTTTCAGTGAGAGATGGTGAACGCATCTGAAATAACAAGTAAGAGGTAAAAGTCCACCTTTGCGTTTTATGTAGCTTGGAACTCGTTTATTACCCCCCGTCCCCCCCCCCCCGCCCCCCTCCCCTCCATCTCTCTCACGTCAAGTTAGTCATTATTGCTCTTTGCCGAGTTGTTTTTCTTCAAGTAGCTCTGAGGTCTCCCGTTTGTCTTTCTAGTGTTTCCTCTCCTAACCCTCCATTGATATTTCCACGCATCCCTCCACGCGCGCATACATGCAAAGTATTCTGACGCCGTCATCGGATCCCAATGCGTTCAGCGTGAGATCCCTCTCTTGTTATTTTGTGAACCTTTGAAGTGTTGTGCCCCTGACCTGTGCGACGGCTCTCTACAAGCTTTTGGCAAGTCACGATTACTTTATTTCCAGGATGAATTATGAGTCAGTTTGTTCTTTCTCCTTCTTATGTAAAAGCACAGGGTCAAATATGCACATGCGTTACTTTATCTGCCCTTTGAGCCGAGCAGTTTGTTCAATGGCGGGGGAAATGTCAGGTGGTACCAGTCCTGAGGGCTGTGAAGCTATTCTGTTATCACTAAATTACCTCGGTTGGAGCCCAGGCAGTGTCCCAGTGGGAACATTAATGATTGATAAAGTCCTTTCATCAACACACCACTGGCCCATGCATATTAGCTATTTGAACAAAATGTTTGAAAGGCTTGTTTCTTGCAGTTCTATGGTATTTAAATGTATACGCTTCGTGTGTGTTTGTGTGTGTGAGAGAACACCCCATCAAGAGAAAATGAGCCACCAGCAAACAATTGTAAAGTGTTAAACTAAATCATTCTAAATTCTAAATGTGTCGGCACACATACATTTATGGACCGTGGGGGTCAAAAGCAGCAATTTGAACTCCTCACTCGAACGTCACCTCCGTTTGTCTTTCTCACAGAAACATCATAACCAACCCAAACGGTTAACACACCAACGCACACAACATGAAGCCAGTTATCTCAGACACCCGAACAACTCTGTCTCTGTCACTCGCAAAGCTCCCGAAAACATCCTGAGCGGATGAATGGAACCTCTTTACCTTTGCTTAAGCTCCCGGTGTTTTCCTGCGTGAGTAACAGCTAATTCCCTGTGGTGGTTAAAAGCAGCTGGGATCCTCTCCGAGAGCAAACAGGGGAATCCTCGCATCCGTGAGACGTCTCCTGGACTCCACACACACACATTACAGCACATACTCACACATGCTGCCTCTTGCACGCTTAGACCAGACTGAAGGCAGAGGAGAGGGTGTGTGTGTGAGAGTGTGTGTGAGAGTGTGTGTGTGTGTGTGTGCGCTGGCTGAGTCTGAGCCCGCCCCCTCTTCTCTCTGGTTCTCTTCTCTCCCACATGCACTCTCCCTCCTCCTCCTCCTCCTCTTCCTCCTCCTCCTTCCCTCTCTCGCCTCCCCTCTCTCTCTCTCTTTCTCTTTCTCTCTCACTCACTCAAATTTCACCTCCCCCGGCTGGCCAATTGACTGCCAGCATGTATGCTGGGTCTGTGCCTTTGAGCTTTTAGATGTCCCAGTCCTCTTTTTAATTGCTGGCTCTCTGGCCTCAAGTTCTACAGACACACACACACACACACACACACACACACACACACACACAAACAAAGATACGCAGACACAGTTGACAAGAACAGGCATTCAGTAACAAATAAGGACGAAGACATGAGCCCATTTGCTCACAAGTAAAGTACAAGGATAGATACGGTCAATTTGAAGGTTAGATTAGTAAATCTAAATTAAATAAAAAACACAGAATGACCACCAGCTGAGGGGAAACTATCAAACCAGCTGTAAAGTAAAGCATCCACACACTTATTCTACTTATTCTACTGATATTCTTGCCACAAAGAAATTCTTCAACCAAAAGCTGGCTGTATAAAATTAGAATTCTTCTTTTTTTTGAGTGTTGAAATGGTTCAAGATTTGATGGTCTGACCCGAAAGGCGCAGAGAGGTGAAGAAGAAGAGTCCCTCACTGGGAAACCTTCCATGAGAGCAGCTGAAGCTTGTCTTACTGCTGCACTTTTTTCCACCCTTCTTTCCAACTATGTTATAACCCATCTTGCTAAAAAAAAAAACACTCCGAAAGTTGATTTCATTTCTTTTCTCTTATGGTTTTGAGTATCAGGGAATCTGTAGGGTTGAAACTCCCAAATCTCTCCTGCGGAACATTGTTCCACAGAATAGATAACCCTGTTCCACAGAAACCTGCCCCTAAATACATTTCCCTTTTCTTTTTTTCTTCATGGAAAATATCCTTCAGGCATTTTTTAAGGAGCGGGGGCAAGTTTCACTACTGAAAATGCTACATTAGTGTACATCTGTAAATGCACAAATAAATAGTAGTTAAATGAAACTTTCTCTGAAAACAAAGCAATTACATAACACATCTATGTAGGCTGCACTGTGCAGCTTCTAGAAACGACATGTTTGGGAGTATTTAGCATTTATGGGGACAAACATGTCGGGACAAAGGGCAGGACAGGAAACAGATCTCCCCAACAAAAGACCGTGACACAGTCTCCACAGGGAAGAGAGGGGACACACACACACACACACACACACACACACACACGTTCACAGCCTCTTCCCTGGAGGCAAATGATGACATTTCAGCACCTCAGACAATGCCCCAGCATCCCAAATCCTTCTGTGCACGCAGCGTGTGTGCATGCGCGTGCACGTACGCCGTCTGTCTGACCGTCTCCTATCACCTGTCCACTGATCAGACCTCGTTTTCTTCCACTTCTGCCTCCCCGCTTGTTATTTGTCTCTGTGTTATCTAACAAAATGAGCTTGGAGAAGGTCGTGTCCCGCTGTAGGAGCCGGCTGAAACAGGAAATATCCGATCCGAGGGGAAGAACGGCAGGCTTCAGACAGCCGGTTCCCACACTCCAAACCCCCAACGTTGCGTTGCCGGGCCTCAATGCCGGGTGTTCAGGGAGCGGGGAGGAACTGGTTAGCAGATTAAAGACAACCCGCAGCAACGGCTGTGATGGCATGTCGGGACAAGCCGTGCACAGAGGAGGTATTAGCAAAAACAGCAGGTGGAAGGTGTTATGTAAGGAGAGAGGAGGGTTGGAGAAACATCAGGCTTCCTTTGCGTCCGCTTGTGTCGACCTGTCTGCGCTCATCCGGCGTGCTGCGCGTTGAAATGTGAACACGCTCCTTATTTGTCCTCAGCTGCGCGGCCGGGACGGCGCTGAGAGAATGAATGTCAGAGTCCGTCCCGCAGACGCCTTTTCTGTCCGATAAACAGAGTATTCCGTAGCAGCGCTGCGAGAGCCGAGCTGCTTTTGTTCTCCCGGCTCCCTGCACACTTGAGCCGGCCTTTCAGCACGATAGACTCAACCTTTCAATCCTCATCAGACGTTATCGCAGTGTTTACGTCCCCGAGGCGTGAGGGACAGATTGGTTTCCCATTTTAGGCCTCCTGCCATATCTGTTGCTAAACATATCGAAATGCATGAACATACTGTGATGGAAAAGGGACAGAAAAATATATATACACATATATACGTGGCCAGGATGCTTGTCCCCCCCCCCCCCCCCCCCCCTCACCTCCTCCCACCCAACCACCCGTCTTGCCAGATTTGATCAAATCATTATCACCAGCCATGCGAGAGGAGCTGATGAATAATGTATGTGATGCTCGGCCACAATAGCAAACCCCTTCTGGCCTGCTACCTTTTTCTTAGTCAGAGCAGCTACCGGTTGCTATCAGCTGATCCCTGACTAGCGCTAAAACAACCATACGTGCACATCCAGCACATTGCCTGGTTTGCACACCAAATCATGTGTCTCGCGCACAGACGAATAAATTGGACAGGTGTACAGAAAGACTCAACAGCTGACGGAGCCTCAACCTGCAGAAGGCGCCGGCATCAGGTGTTACTCTGCAACCGTTACTGTTTAACATTAAGAAAGAGTGACGTGCCTTAGATGTGAGTCTGTGATGGACAGCGTGGGTTTAACACCACAGGTGAAACGTCAATTATGTCTCCACGGTTATGTATGCTACAGACAGACCGCTACCAGCATCTCTGCAGCTCACTGATCAACACATTCTATTTCGTTGATTCATTGCACCAAAAAAGGAAAATGACAAGCCGGAAGGATGCTCCCAGATACTTTAGTCTGTACTCATAAGGCACTCCTTGAAACACATAAGAAGTCGCAGTTGGTCGCTCACACGCAGCTCGAACACAGGAAGTAAAACCACTGGAGACACGACAGGAAACTCACTAATAGCCTATTGTTTTCTAGTTTATGCTGATAATAATTATAACAAACAGAAAGATGAACCGTCCAAGAGGCAGAACTAGTCTATTCCAGTTGGGTTTAAATTGTAATCCAATGCGATTAGGAGACACAAATCAGCAACAAGCAATGCACAAAAGACAGAAAACGACACGTAAACACCGTGTAAGAGTACATCTGTGGGGAGCGTTGTGCTAAACCTGTTCAACAACCAACCAACCGGCCAACGGTTTTAACTAACTACTGCAGAGAGTCATCGTATCCACGTGCTAATCTCTTTAAAGGTCTGTAGTTATAGGAAGCAAATAATGATACGGAGCGAAGGTGAAGACCAAATATGTCTTTCAAATTGTTAGGGGGAAAAAAAAGAACTTGACTCAAAGCCGATAATGACAAAGTCAGACATGTGAGAGTGAGTGACATTCACATCACTCTAACCAAGAGAACAGAGGATATGGGCGTACAAAGACAAGATCAATCGGCCCTCTGGCAAGCAGAACAAACATCACAGAAAATCCGATATAATCAGCAAGACAAAGTGTAGAAACCAAGTAAAAGTACCGTATCACATCATAATCCCCATCAATGTAAACAGGGAGCAGCAATAATTAGGGGGCTGCATTCACAGATAACTATCTGGGAATCAAGCATATGGGAGGTGTGGGAACAGTGCAAATGTCTCTTTTGTCTTCATGCTAGCTCTTCAACTCTCCAACTCGTATATTTGTCGACGAAATGGACAGAAGCGAAAAGATGCGAACGCGTGTGTTTGAGTCAGCGTGGGATGTGACAGAGTCGTCTGTGAGGCAGATATAAAGCTGCAGCGGGACACACATCACATCAACACCCTGACCTCCTTGCAAACTAATGCAAACTATCCGAAAACCCATTTCATTACTCACCCAGCCCAGTAACTCGCCTGGCTGGAGACACGGAAGCACGCACACATATCCAGATAACCCCACTCTTGTTATTAAAGTATGCTCGAACCCCTGCAAGGTTTCAGCCACACATGTGAAAAGAGTAAGCCTTGTGGAAATAACGGGAATTTGGATTATACACAAATACATATTACTATCCACATAGTCGAATTTCCACTGTTATTCCCATGTTTCCTTAAAACTAATTCTATTGGAAAAGGTGAATTATGCATCACTGCACACTACCATTGGAAGTCAATTTGATTTGAGATATATCAATGACAATTTTCACTGAACAGGGATTCAAGCATCATGGTTTGGAAGAGATCGGGGTCTATGATGGCCGCATGTTCTGCATTAAAAGATTACAAATGTTATTTGTCTTAACCTCTGACTTGCTCCCCTTCACACACACAAAACAAACACACACGCCTGCGTACCCTCATGCACTTCCTGCTCATTTAAGGAACATTTATCAATGGGCTGTTTCCAGGTCAAGCAGCAGAGACAGAATTAGACCCCAAGTCGTGCTTGTCGCTTTACATCATTCTCTGTCTGTAACACACAGTCATCTTAAATTGATGTAATTGAACCCCATTCAGTAGCTTTCACGTTTCCACGCTCAGAACTGGACACAACAAAAGGCTCTACAAACTGGATGATTACAGTGATTTAAACAGTGGTATTGATCCCTTTAATAATGATTCTCGGCTGGTTTAAAATGCAATGTTTCCTAACATTGAATGTTTTAATGATGTGAATTTGATTTCACACTGAGCGACGTGTATTGTGATAAACAACAAATAGAAACTATAAATGAAGAAGTTTCTTCTACATTTTAAAAATAAAACAGCAGCGACGTTCATAACATGCAGCAGCCTTTTGAACTCATCAGAGAGAGCTTTTAACACAACCGCCGCCGTATCTACAGAGTTTCAGCCACTTCAGCTAAAAGTTGACTGCGCCAGCAAAAAATGGGGAGGAGGAGACGGGAGATGAGGTTAAGAGGTTGAGTGTGGGAAAAGGAGGGGAGGAGAGGGAATGAAGGATTAAAGCATCAGAAGGTGTAGTGTTCCTCTAA